GCGGGAAGCCTGCTTCTCCCTCTCCCACTCCCCCTGCTTGTGTTCCTGCTCTCGCTATGTCTCTCTCTGTCAAATAAATAAATAAAATCTTTAAAAAAAAAGAAGTCTTGCTGGTGAAGAGAAACAGAGTAAACAATGAATGCTTGAAGAAAAAAAGTTGAGTGCAAGCTGTTGTAGAAATTTTGTTTGGTTTTGTTTCAAGAACAGAAAAGACAGGAGAGGTGTGAGCATTCTGACAAGCTGCTGGGAGGCATTCGGTTGGTCAGGAAATGACTTAGTAAATGCAGATCCAAATTACTAAAAGCCTATGCACATCAAAAGCAGTTTTTCTTTTTTATGTTATTTTATGTTCACTGTAAATTAATTGGGAGGAAATAATCCCCCAGATGAGCTTTGATCAAAATAAAAGTCACAAGGTATAAAGAATTCCAACTGGGAAAGCAGGGACAGGCCTGGGAAGAAAACAGTGCCAGCTAAGGGCCCACTGGGGCCTGGCAAAATGTGGACCTAAGGTTGGTAGTAACTGGGAATTTCAAAGAAGCTTTACCAGGTGGGCAGACAAGCTCTTAGAGTTATGCAAAACTGAGGTGCTACTTAGAGTTAATACTGCAATGCAGGGTGAAAACGATATGGCAATTGTATGGCATCCTGGCTTGTCTCCATGTTCAAACAGTAAATGTGAGGGATCCTAAGTTCTAAGTAAGGAACTAAGTTTGAGAGATTTTACAGAATGATTTGATACATATAACAAAACCATTACAGATACATACTATGGATTTAATATTACAAGTAGAGAGTGTAACAGAGAAGTTTAACTTTTAAAACCTCAAATTTAGGAAAGTAACTAGCACAAGGGTTTATACCATTATGTATCCATCCACATGTAATTCCTTCCAAGGAATACTTGGAAGCATTAGGAAAATAATGAGTTGGAGAAGCCAAAACAAGAGAAATAATAAACAGAGGCTCCAGGATTCAGACTAGATGAACTTCCCTGGGGTACTCTTGCACTCAGCAGAGGGGGAGGGAAGATTATTACTCATGCTGTAACTTACAAAAGGACGTGGGTTGTATAAATGAGGGTATACAGTTTTCAAGCTTACCCAGTCTTCAGAGTGAGTAGATTTATGTCACAAGGCTGGAGATAGCAAAATGGTAGCTGTCAATACTCTATTCATTAGCAAACTTTTGTAAGAATGAAAAATATAGAGCTCCAATTCTCCAAATTTATGAACAAGCTGAAGGATAATATTATCTTAGTTTTTAGAAGTTTGAATAATCTGATTTAACTGACTCGTATTAGAATTTCAATCACCCAATCTTTTCCATAGCAATGAGATATAATTAAAATAATGGATTTCAATGATTCCTTCCCGGTTGTTCATGGAATGTATAATGTATCAGGAATACAAGAACATAAAAATATATACTGTTAATATATATAAAGAATGTAATTCTTCCCACCTAAAATACTTTATCTCCTGTCCTTGAGCCTAATTTCCTCATGCAGTCACTCCCACCAGGAAGCCTTCCCCAATGCCTTAAGATGATCCCACCTGATGACTCACTTGTTTCTCCCATCATCACAGCTTTAACTTGTCACCCTCTATCTTTATCTCAGGTTTACTAGTGTGAAGCTCCTACAGAATGCAAGCCCCAAAAGGATGCAGCCACATTAACTAGACTCAGAGTCTGGTTCTAAACACCTGGCACTGTGCCTAGCAAATAGAATAAGTAGAATTAAAATTTAAATTAATCATAAAGAAGTAAAAATAGGTGTCTCTCAAAGAAATTTTACTCTTAGGAAGGCATTTCAGGCTACTGCCTCAGTATCCCCTGCCACTAGGCCACGGAGACTGTCTGATAGCCCATTCCTATCAACACTGCTTTCACTGAAGGTGAGCGCGGAATCCAAGGCCTTCATTATCCAGAGCCATGCACAAAGCCAAACTACTGAGCAACATACAAGCTCAATAAACAATGTCATATCAATACTTGCCCCTTCATTAAACACTTATTTTTATCCTCTCATTCCTCAACATTCAATTTCTCTGGTAATAACCAACATATCCTTCCTCAATTATCCCCATCCACCTACAAAATGTTTTTTCAGCAGCTTTAAAGTAGATAAATGCCATATATATGTTTGTAAAAGTCAAGGGAAGTCTATCTTTATCACCTGTTTAATACTTTATCACCCAGTTACCTAAAATTATATCATAAATGCTCCTAAGAACAATAGTTAACCTTAATAACACCTAAAAACAAGTTAGAGCATTTATACACAGTATATACTACAAATTAGTTATAACAACTACAAAGTAGGATAAATAGAAAACCCAATCAGAAAATGAGTTATTTGCTTGTAAGAAAATATTACATTACAGGAAAAGAAACATTTTTGTGTCCTATTACAGTCAAAAATTTACTATGTACTATCTAATCTTACCTACACTGATCTACCAATTAAATTTAGGTGCCTACCTAAAAGCCGCTTCCCAAAAGCAGTTCATTCCACAAACATCAGAGGGCAGCATCCAATAGGGATTCCAGTAACACAGAGAGAAATCTTTACACCTAACAGAGCAAGACAGAAATAGAGAGTCCTATGTGAGTATTTAGGTTTAAAACTAACAAGGAATTTACTTAACATAATAACTTACTGTTCTATTTTATGGCAACAAAACTGCAAATCCAATTTTGTGAATTCAATATGGCTAAGGTAACTTGAGTTTTGGAAATTTCTCCCTTATTCGAGGTACCATTATTTTATTTTATTATTTATTTATTAAGGTACCATTATTTTAAATAGGACTTTAAAACCATTAGGCAGAATATAGTACAGACTGAAAAACCATTTCCTAGTCAGGAACTCTCCAAACATATTAAAATTCCCTCCTCAGATGACACAGAAAATATGGGAATACTTCTAAAATTTTCCTTTGTGTACTACACAGATCCCCCTAGAATAAAATCCATTTCAGTCAAACAAAACAGTTGCTTATCCTGGAGCAAATTTAAAATGCCACAAATGCTGACAGAAAAGGAAGAGAGGATCTTTGAAGGCTTTTAAATTAAGCTTCAATCCAAGCTAGTTGTACGGTGTTTTAAACTGGAAAAAAAAAAAAAGCAAGCAAGCAAGCACGCTGATATCCATGGCTCAGTTTCATTATGTACCTTATCTTCGTTTCGCTGTATTACACAAGCTAAAATGGAGGATTAAGTGTAGTCTTTCCTCTTAGATTGCAGGTCGGAGCTCAGTTAACAATAGCCGTAACACCTCACCTTACAAAAAGTATGCTTTTCATTGTTACTACTTTTCAAAACAATAGTTTAGTTTGAAATTCACTGCAGTGAGGCCTGGATACTAAAGCAAGTATGAAATCAGGGTGAGTCACTAAACTAGGTCACCTCATGTCCCCTCACCATGTAACTCTGTTTTCTCTTGCTATAAATTCAATTCTATGTTACTGTTCTTACAGCAAAAGGTCTATGAAATTTCATATTTGCAAAGATTTCTGATCATACCTCTCACACATGCCAACAGTCTAGGGCAGAGGATCTCAAACCCAGGCTGCACAGCGAAATCACCCAGAGAGCCCCATAGGAGAACTATTAAATCAGAATCTCTGCGAACAGGGTGGGGCACAGATGGCACATTTTAAAATGGGTCCCAGGACCTGAGATCATGATACAAGAGCTGAAGGCAGATGCTTAACCAACTGAGCCACCCATGCACCAACAAATCTATCTTCTGTCTCTATAGATTTGCCTGTTACAAATACTTCACATAAATGAAATCATATAATATGTGGTCTCTCAAGTCTGACATCCTTCAGTCTAACCCTTGAATACATTTTCAAAGTTCATCTACTGTAGTACACCTAAGTACCCTCCATTTCTTATCAGTACACTTCATTCCTTTTTATGACCAAATAATGGATGGATATACCACATTTTGTTTAGTTATTCATCAGTTGATAGATATTTGGGTTGTTTTCCACCTTTTGGCTATTATAATGCTGCTATGAACATTCATTTACAATTTCTCTCCAAATATGTTTTCAATTCTCTTGCATATATACCTACAGGTGAAATTGCTAGAAACTATAGTAATTAATGAAGATGAAATTACAGGGAAAAAGTCAAGTTTTAGGTTTTCATAACCATAACTCAATGTCAAAACAGTTTTTTTTAGAAGGGATGTTTTTCTTTCTGTCCTTCTTTAATGGAAATGTAAAACATATGCACTAGTGAGTATACATACCACTATTTAAAAAAATCATAAAACACTGATGTGCTGCCGGCAAGAGGTGGCATAATTTAATGTTTCTTATTTCCCAAACTTACATTCTCTCACTTATGAAAAAATGGTTTTAAAGACTGAGTAGAAACTCATTACGTACCAGTTAACTGTTATTACAGACAGACAGCAACTGTACTTATAGGCCAGAAAAAAATAAAGTTAAATATTGGGAAAGTAAAGGCAGTTGGTATCCAAGTTCTGGTTATTAGTTGAGTTTTTGCTTTTATTTCTTAAAACTGTTGGAGGGGCAACTGGGTGGCTCAGTCGGTTAAGCATCTGCCTTTAGCTCAGGCCATGATATCCAAGCCCTGGGATGGAGCCCCCGTGTTGGGCACCCTGCTCCGCGGGAAGCCTGCTTCTCCCTCTCCC